CGTGCCGGCTGGCTGGCCCTCAGCGGCTCCCCGAGGACAGGGGCCTGGCGGGGCCTGTGGGAGAGGGTGGCTGGCAGGACGGGATCTGTGTGTGGCCGGGCGTCAGCACGGTGTGTTTGGGGCTCTGAGGGCGGGTGGCCCTTTGGGCTGTGAGTCCAGCTGCACTGTTGGCCACCTGAGTGCTGCCCTGGCGCCTCCTGCCTCGGTGCTGTTTCTCTCTGCTCTTTGGTGTCTCTCTGTCTCGCTGGTCTCTTGTGGCTCCTGGTGTCTCTGTCTGTCTTCCTGTCCCCAGCTGGCTCTCTCCTTGTGGTCTCTCTGTCTGTCTGTCAGTGTCTCTCTCCCTATTTCCCCCTCCGTGTCTCTCAGTGTGTGTCTGTGTGTCTTGGTCTTGTGTGTGTCTGTGCTCTGCTTCTCTGTGAGTCTCTCAGTGTTTGTGTCTGTGAGTCTGTCAGTGTGTGTCTGTGTGTCTTGGTCTCGTGTCTCTCTGTGGCTCTGCTTCTCTGTGAGTCTGTCAGTGTGTGTCTGTGTGTCTTGGTCTCGTGTGTGTGTCTGTGGTTCTGCTTCTCTGTGTGTCTCTCAGTGTTTGTGTCTGTGAGTCTCTCAGTGTTTGTGTCTGTGAGTCTGTCAGTGTTTGTCTGTGTGTCTTGGTCTCGTGTCTCTCTGTGGCTCTGCTTCTCTGTGAGTCTGTCAGTGTGTGTCTGTGTGTCTTGGTCTCGTGTGTGTGTCTGTGGTTCTGCTTCTCTGTGTGTCTCTCAGTGTGTGTGTCTGTGAGTCTGTCAGTGTGTGTCTGTGTGTCTTGGTCTCGTGTCTCTCTGTGGCTCTGCTTCTCTGTGAGTCTGTCAGTGTGTGTCTGTGTGTCTTGGTCTCGTGTGTGTGTCTGTGGTTCTGCTTCTCTGTGAGTCTCTCAGTGTGTGTGTCTGTGTGTCTGTCAGTGTGTGTCTGTGTGTCTTGGTCTCGTGTCTCTCTGTGGCTCTGCTTTTGTGTCTGTGTGTCTGTCAGTGTGTGTCTGTGGTTCTGCTTCTCTGTGAGTCTCTCAGTGTGTGTGTCTGTGTGTCTCTCAGTGTGTGTGTCTGTGAGTCTCTCAGTGTGTGTGTCTGTGTGTCTGTCAGTGTGTGTCTGTGTGTCTTGGTCTCGTGTCTCTCTGTGGCTCTGCTTCTCTGTGAGTCTTTCTTCTTGTCTCTCAGGCTCTCTGGTCCTCTAGTCTCTGTGTTTCTCTCTGTCATTCTCTATTCTTGTCTCTTACCCCCATCTCTGTGTCTCTCAGCATCTCTGTCTCTCTGTTCCTATCCTGTTTCTGTGTCTCTGCTTTCTGTCTTTCAGTCTCCTTCCATAGCTGCTTCTTCGTGTCTCTCTAGGTCTCTGTCCCCTTATTTCTGTCTCTAGATCTCTTAGTGTCTGTCTCTAATGGTCATTCTCATACTCTCATTTCTGGTCTCTGTCTCTCTGCCTGTGTGCTCCTTCCTATTTCTGTCTCTCTTTTGTGTGGAGGTCTATCTTCTCTTCTCATGTTCTCTCTGCCTCTACCATGCCGTTGCTCTGCGTTTCTCTTCCTCTCTCTTTTTTCTGTCCTTGGCTCCTCATTTGTGTTCCTGTGTCTCCAGCTGTCACTCCTGCAGCGTCCTTCTGTCCCTGTCGGGAGGAGGGCCATGTCTTGCCATGAGGTTCATGGATGTTCTGGACAGTCTGGTGGCTGGGTCCTGAGGGAACTGGGGTGGGGGCCTGCTCAGTCCTCCCAGGTCTTCCTGGCACAGCCCTGGTGGGAGCTGCATGAGCTGCTGAGTCCTGCATGGGAGAGACCCAGCTCAGCTGTCCAACCAGGGTGGTGGCCGAGTAGCCCTGGCAGACCCTGGCTGCCCCTGTCTGGCTTTGACTGGCCCTTTTGGCTGAACTTGGCTGACACCATTTCATCCTGGCAGCTCCTAGAAGATTTTGCAGGGCCCTAGATGACTTTGGCCTTTTTTGACCCTGGCTGGTCTTGGTCCACTTTGGTTTCCTTATGCTGACTCTGGGCATGTCCTTGTTTGACTCTGAGTGACCCTGGGCAGACCACAGTGGACTTTTTTTTGTCGGTCATGGGGCTTGAACTCTGGCCTGGGTGCTGTCCCTCAGCTCTTCAGCTCAAGGTGAGCACTCTACCACTTGGCCACAGCACCACTTCTGGTTTTCTGCGTGGTTTATTGGAGATAAGAGTCTCCTGGACTTTCCTGCCTGGGTTGGCTTTGAACCATGATTCTCAGATCTCAGCCTCCTGAATAGTTAGGATTACAGGTGTGAGCCACTGACACCCGGCTTTGATTCCATTTTAAGAGATCAGCCCGGACTTCCCAAAAGTCCCATGTCCAAACATCATTGAATTCAAATTTCAGTTTATCAGGAGGAGGGACATGGTTTTAAGTTCATAGCAAACTGGTAGTATACCTAAATGTAAAGCACAAAACTCTAAGACTCCTAGAGGACAACCAAGGAGGAAATGCAGGGGACACGGGCTTTGCAGTGTGTTTTAAAATACTGCACCAGAGCCGGCGCCGGTGGCTCACTTCTGTCATCCCAGCTACTCAGGAGGCTGAGAACTGAAGGTCGAGGTTCAAAGCCAGCCCTGGCAGGAAAGTTTATGAGATTCTTTTTTTTTTTTGTCGGCTGTGAACTCTGGGCCTGGATGCTGTCCCTCAGCTCTTCAGCTAAAGGCTAGCGCTCTACCACTTGAGCCACAGCGCCACTTCCAGTTTTCTGGGTGGTTAATTGGAAATAAGAGTCTCACGGACTTTCCTCAGATCTCAGCCTCTTGAGTAGCTAGGATGACAGGCGTGGGCCACCGGTGCCCGGCTCCACAGTTGATCTTGTTTGACCTTTTCCCCAATCTTGGGTGAGCATGGCCACACTCAGGCAGAGGGAACTCACCCAGCTGCCACTGTCTGCTGGGGGCTGGGCCCCAGGCCTTGGAGGCCCCACTGCCCCCGCCCGGCTCTCCTGGGCTCAGAGCCAGAGCCCCAACCCCACCTGGCCAGGTTTCGGTTTTGGGGTGAGTCTCAGAACAACAGTTCCCGTTGTGGACACCTGGTTGAGCTGGGCTCATGATGACTCAACTACCTCGGCTATTTTGGGTCTTTCAGCAGGTGAGAGACAAAGGAGGCTTCTGAAGAAAGGGAAAAACAAGAGCTCAAGAGGGGATAGCAGCTAGCTGCCTGGCCTCCCTTGTGTATTGCCGCTGGCCAGCATGGTGGTGACCCGGCCCTGGGACCCTGTGTGGCCAGGCCTTCTGCTCCTGGTGACCCTGACCCGGCCCTGGGACCCTGTGTGGCCAGGCCTTCTGCTCCTGGTGACCCTGACCCGGCCCTGGGACCCTGTGTGGCCAGGCCTTCTGCTCCTGGTGACCCCTGACCCGGCCCTGGGACCCTGTGTGGCCAGGCCTTCTGCTCCTGGTGACCCTGACCCGGCCCTGGGACCCTGTGTGGCCAGGCCTTCTGCTCCTGGTGACCCCTGACCTGGCCCTGGGACCCTGTGTGGCCAGGCCTTCTGCTCCTGGTGACCTCTGACCCGGCCCTGGGACCCTGTGTGGCCAGGCCTTCTGCTCCTGGTGATCCCTGACCCGGCCCTGGGACCCTGTGTGGCCAGGCCTTCTGCTCCTGGTGACCCCAGACCTGGCCCTGGGACCCTGTGTGGCCAGGCCTTCTGCTCCTGGTGACCCCTGACCCGGCCCTGGGACCCTGTGTGGCCAGGCCTTCTGCTCCTGGTGATCCCTGACCCGGCCCTGGGACCCTGTGTGGCCAGGCCTTCTGCTCCTGGTGACCCCTGACCCGGCCCTGGGACCCTGTGTGGCCAGGTCTTCTGCTCCTGGTGACCCCAGACCTGGCCCTGGGACCCTGTGTGGCCAGGCCTTCTGCTCTGGCAGGCCCGTGTCTGCTTAGTGCTTGCACACTTCTGTGGACCTTAAAAGGGCGAGTGGGCGTCGGGGCCATTGCCTCCTCACCAGCATCCCCTGGCCCCCTGCTAGCCTGCATGACTTCCTAATGAGATGATGGTCAGCACACAGAGAACAGCATGCAGGCCAGGCACAGACAGGCGTCGGCCTCAGGTGAGGCCATGAGGCAGTGGGAGCACAGGCACCATCAGTGTTGAGGCCCACCATTCCAAGGTCAACCCAGAAAAAGGAGCAAGACTCAGGTACCAGGATGAGGGCTTAGTGATCAGAGCAAGTACCCAGTGATGATCAGGACCAGGGCTCTTCATTAGGATCTGTGATTAGGACCACAGCCCAGGAATTAAATTCAGGGTTGACTCAGTCATCAGGATAGGACTCATTTATCAAACCAGGCTTCCGTGATCAGGAGCAGGGCTCCATAAGCATGATTGAGGCCTGGTGATCAGGACATGAGTACAAGGATGAAGATATGGGCCAGTAATAAGTACCAGGGTCCAGTACATTAGGATTAAGGCCTAATGATCAAGATCAGGCCTTGGTAACCAGGAGCAGGGCTCGGTAAGCAGGATGGAGGCCCACTGATCAGGACCAAGAATTCAATGACCAGGATCAGAGCCAGGATTAGTTATTAAGACCAGGATTGAATGATGAGGACCAGGTCCTATGATCAGGACTTCCATTAGTTTGGACATGGGCTGTGTTCACTGTCTAGGCAGTACGTATACACACACACACACACACACACACACACACACACACACACACACTCTTCTGCTCAGAACCCTCCCTTTGTGCCTAGAGGTATGGCCCAGTGCTTAGAGCTGGTGTTCAGCATAGAGAGCTGGGCCCACTGACTGGAGGCCTGAGCAGAGTTCCCAGGCGGCGTCCTCCTGGCACCCCTGCCCTGGAGACCACACGGAGCCCCAGGCCACAGCCTCAGGCAGGACCAGGTCATCTTAGACACTGAACCGGGGACCTGCTGTCCTGCTTGGACACCTGTGTGCTCTAGGCAGGGTCACCCGACTCCCCGAATGCCCCTTTCCCTTATCTGAGAACCTTTGCCTTTAAAAGACTGCAAGCGTTTGTGTTGGGCATGGATTTATTGCACAGGAAGGAGTGTGTTTATGTGGGGTGACTTGTGGGGCTCAGCTCTTACATGGAGAGGGCTCCTCCGGCCTTCTTCCCTGTGAAGACAAGAGAGCCAGGGTCTGAGGGCTCCTGCGGGTAGGCAGGCTCCTCCGGGGCCCTGTCCCAGGCCCTGTTCCTCATGGGAGACTGGGCCGAGTCCTCAAGTTATTGCACCCGTGGGAAGCCCCTGCCCTGACCGCAGGGGCCCATCCTCAGTGCTACTCTTCCCCAGGAGGGCAGAGGCCCCTGTGCTGGAGAAGGTGGTTCCCTTGTCGGAGTTGAGCACCCACTGCCACCCACCCTCTCCTCTCCTCCCCCACCTGCTCCCTGCTGCTCCTGCTCAGTACTGGGGGTCCTCCCCCACCTGCTCCCTGCTGCTCCTGCTCAGTACTGGGGGTCCTCCCCCACCTGCTCCCTGCTGCTCCTGCTCAGTACTGGGGGTCCTCCCCCACCTGCTCCCTGCGTCCTCCCCCACCTGCTGCTCCTGCTCAGTACTGGGGGTCCTCCCCCACCTGCTCCCTGCGTCCTCCCCCACCTGCTGCTCCTGCTCAGTACTGGGGGTCCTCCCCCACCTGCTCCCTGCGTCCTCCCCCACCTGCTGCTCCTGCTCAGTACTGGGGGTCCTTGCTGCCCAGGGGGCCTCGCACACTTGTCACCGTGAGCGCCGTGCTGTAGAACAGGCTGAGCAGGAAGAGGGTGAGGAGGGTAACGGTGGTGGGCCACAGGCTGGCCCCTGGGGCTTCCTCCTCCAGGCTGTCCTGCGGCTGGTCCAGCAGCACCCAGGGAAGAAGCTCTTTATATGCTGTAAGACATTCAGGGCCTGTCCGGCCAGACCCAAGTGGGCATCAGCTGGAGCTGGAGCCCTGCCCTCCCTTGGCTCTGGGGTCGGGACAGGGGTGGTGGGAGTTCCCTATCTCAGGCTGGAGACTTGCTTCAGGAGGACAAGGGGGCAGCTTTAGGTCAATGTCTGGGCCTTGCTGCTCTTCAGAGGGCCTGGATGAGAGTCCTGGCGGGACAGGAGTGTGGATGCAGCCTTCACAGCCCCAGCAGGGGCTGAGCCCAAGGCTGCCTGGTCAGGCGCTTGGGTGGCCCTGAGCATGATCCTGGCCCAGAAGGGACCAGAC